CGAGGTACGTGAAAGTGAGAGATTATTTGACTTTCTAATGGGTTTGGATGATCAATTTTCTACAGTCAAATCCCAAGTCCTAGCTATAAAACCTATACTTAGTCTTGCGGAAGCCTATCAAATGGTGATCAACGATGAACATCAACGGTCGATTGCTAGCAGCCAAAGGCCCTGTTCCGACGCAGCGGCGTTTCAAGTTCAAGGGGAGAGGCGAGGTGAGCGATCCTCCAGCCGCAGGGAGGGAGATGATGTTGACAAGCCTCGATGTTCACATTGTAACTGCATTGGGCACGTCAAGGCAACTTGTTACAGGCTTATTGTCTTTCCTTCTCGTGGGAATGACAAGAGAGAAGGGAACCGTCGCAAAGCCCCGCGTGCTGATCGTCCGACGCGTCCAACACCACAAGCAGCTCAAGTTGACTAGCGGAAAATCCACTTCCTAGCTTGACAGCGACATAATGTGCGCAGCTCAAGGCTCTCCTGAGTTCAAATTTATCTCAGTCACCAGCCGAATCTTCTGAGCCTTTTCTCGAATATGGCTGGTACGTTTCCTGTTCCTTCTTCTAAGTCAGTTACTTGGGTTATTGACTCGGAGTGTAACGAGCACATCGTTAATCATGCTTCTATATTGGATGTTAAGTTGGATACCTCGCCGTCTTTACAGGCAAAAATTCCCAATGGGACAGGAGTTAGAGTTCACAGTATTGGATTGACGCAATTGTCTAAAAATCTATTATTGCGCCGTGTTCTATATGTGCCCGATTTTCAGTGCAATCTTCTCTCCGTTAGCCAGCTTACAGCAGATCTGTCAGTTGCATCGATCTTCTTACGTGATTTATGTGATTCAGGACTTACCATCCAAAATGCTGATTGGGATGGGTAAGCATGTAGATGGATTGTACTATCTCCGACTGTTCGACGAGGATCATCCTATGGTGAATTCGGTTCGACGGTCGTTGGATATTATAAAGTTGTGGCATGCTCGCCTAGGACACCCATGGCGAAGCTGGATTTATTTCAAAAACTCCTAGATTGTTCTTTTGTTCAAAATAAAGAACCTTGTCGGTCTTGTTTGCGTGCTAAGCAAACTCGGGATTCTTTTGTTTCCAGTAGTATCACAACGCAGTCATGTTTTAAGTTGATACATGTGGATATTTGGGGGAGAAACAGGACAACCTCCACCTCTAGGGCTCATTATTTTTTAACCATTGTCGATGATTACAGTCGTGCAGTGTGGGTTTTCTTAATACGTCATAAATCGGATGTTGGACGTCATTTGCTATATTTTTGTAACATGGTTAGCACCCAGTTTGGTGGACAGGTGCAGCGCATACAGGCTGATAATGGGCCTGAATTCTCAAGCAATCTCTTGCTCGATTACTACACGGAGAAGGGGATAGTTCTACAGACCTTCTGTACAGACACTCCTCAGCAGAATGGGGCCGTGGAGCGAAAACATCGACATTTACTCGACGCTGCTCGGGCTTTGAGGTTCCACGCCAATATACCCATCAGGTTCTAGGGCGAGTGTGTGCTCACTGCAGTCTATCTTATTAATCGGATTCCCCTAGTCTCCATCGGGAACAAGTCCCCATTTCAAATCTTGTTCAAGAAAGATCCCTCGTATGCTCATCTTTGCCATTTTGGTTGCCTGGTCTATGCGCGGGATACCCATCATGGTTTGCACAAGTTTGGCGAACGTGGTCGTGCTGGCATTTTCTTGGGATATCCATCGTCTCAACGTGGTTATCAAATTTATGATCTCGAGAAGAAGTGCATCTATACTTCACGGGATGTTAAGTTTCTTGAAAAAGTTTTTCCTTATCGTGATTTCGAGGATTCCAGGATCAACCCTGTTGTCATCTCCATACCGCAGCATGGTAATTATCCTGCTCCAATACACGATGAGGTTGATGATATGGTTCCCTTGGCAGTTCCACCAGAGCCTCTTCCTATTAATCCCAGCACTACGGACGTGGAGTCTTCTCCTCCTCACGTGGAGTCTTCTCCCATGCATTCAAAGTCTCCACAAGCTGCGTCCATGCCTGATCCACCATCCTCGACCGATTCTGCTGGTGATGATCACATCACATTCGACTCTGGGCCAGGTCCCTGCGATGCGGGTCCATCTTCTCCGCCAACGCCCGTCCCTCCTCATCGTGGGGATGGGGTGCGTCACCCCTCCACACGCCTGGTTGGATACGACGTTCAGCTACCTGGTGCCGCACACACGGCCGCTGTTCTGTATCCACTGGAGGATTATGTCAGTTATCATCGTCTCTCGGCAGCCCATCATGCCTTAGTGGCTGCCGTCACTGCCATCAACGAGCCGACTCATTTCTTTCAAGTTGTACGATATAATAATTGGCGTGATGCCATGCAGTTGGAAATCGATGCGTTGGTGGCCAATGGCACTTGGTCCTTGATAGATCTTCCAACTGGAAAACGCGCCATTGCGTTTAAATGGGTGTTTAAAATCAAGTTTCGCCCCGATGGTTCTGTTGAGCGCTATAAGGCGCGATTGGTGGCGAAGGGTTTCACTCAGATTGAGGGCATAGATTTCCATGATACCTATGCTCCGGTGGCTAAGCTTGTCACTGTTCGTTGTGTTCTCGCCGTTGCTGTCACACGAGGTTGGCATATTCACCAACTCGATGTGAATAATGCCTTTCTTCACGGTGATCGGCACGAGGAAGTTTACATGACTATTCCTCAAGGTTTTTTTCGTCCCGGTGATACTCGGGTTTGCTGGTTACATAAATCCATCTATGGTTTGCGTCAGGCTTCTCGCAATTGGTATCAGAAGTTTACGCAAGCTTTATTGGAGCTCCAGTTTGTCCAGAGCAGGGCTGATCATGCTCTGTTCACATACCGATGCGGTTCCACCTTTGTGGTTGCACTTATTTATGTTGACGATGTCATTCTCACCGGTATTGATTTGTCATTCATTCAACAGGTCAAGAACTTTCTCCATGATCGTTTCACCATCAAAGACCTTGGCACACTCAAGTACTTCCTGGGTATTGAGGTAGCTCGTTCTCCCAAAGGTCTCTTTCTTAATCAGCGTAAATAAGTTCTGGATATCCTGACTGATAAAAGATCACTTGAGGCCGCTCGGCCTTGTGCTACACCTATTGAGCAACATCATAGCTTGGGCCGACTCCCTTCCCCTCCAGCACGCGATCCTGCTGCTTATCGGCGTCTCGTTGGGCGTCTCCTCTATCTGACTGTCACTCGCCCTGACATTACATATGTTGTTAATCTTCTCAGTCAAGCAATGCTGTCTCCCACTCAGACTCATGAGGATGCTGCCATTCGTGTTCTGCGCTATCTCAAGGGCTCTCCAGGTCGTGGCATTTTCTTCTCTGCTTCGACATCTCTTGTTCTGACTGGTTTCTGTGATGCAGATTGGGATGGCTGTCCCACCACTCGGCGTTGCACGACGGGCTTTTTCATTACTCTTGGTGACTCTCCCAATTCTTGGCGCACCAAGAAACAAACGGTGGTTGTACGTTCCTCTACTGAGGCTGAATACCGGGCGACGACGAGTGCAGTTAGTGAACTTCTCTGGTCACGGTGGCTTCTCCTCGATTTGGGTGTCCCCTCCTCGAGTCCCACTACGTTATTTTGTGATAACCAGGCAACCCTTCACATTGCTACCAACCCGGTCTTTCACGAGCGTACTAAGCATGTCGAGATGGATTGCCATTTTTTCCGAGAGCGTGTTCAGTCTGGTGAGATTGTTGCGGCCAAAATTGCTACTGCCGATCAGCCTACCGATATTTTCACGAAGGGATTGAGTGTCGATCAGTTCCATCATCTCTTCGTCAAGCTCGGACTTCTCGATATTCACTCCTTCGCTTGAGGGGGAGTGTAGTGCTTCCTAATTACTCATCATTAATTTATTAGGGATCACTTGGTAATTTACCCTACTCCATGTTACACGAGGTTAGGAGTTAGGGTTAGCTTTTCTATATATGTAACTCAGCCTCTCTTTGCCGTACACAAGAGACGTGTAAGATGATCATATTAGTTTTTCTCCGAGAGATCTAAGCTCTCCGTAGATTATTCCCGTTCACATTGTACGGGGATACCACGTAAATCCTGGTGTCTCATGTTCTTGATTTTGTATTTTCGTATTTTACATGGGTGTCCTCCCCAAAAGGCCTCGTACTAATTGGGCTAGGTGGACCCTAATATACTAGGGTTCATTCCCTTGTATCACCGATGTGGTACTTGGATTGTCCCATAATAGTTACCTCTGTTTTGGAGCCCTTAAATCAAACACAAGGGTCCCACCAGGTGTGCCAATTTGTTTTCCGGCGAGAAAAACTAGTGTTTGAATTCAATTAATGCACCTTTGACTTTTTGAACAACGAAAACCAACACGGTTCAAACATCTTCGAACAAAGTTCAAACGAGGGTGTTTGATGCTTTGATTGTTTTTTGGGAACAAACTATATTAAATTATCCTACTCCTAAGGAGGTTAAGTGAGAGCTCCGGAAACTAAAGGATATGGCTAATTAATCGATGTGGTATGTGATTAATTTTTAGGTGTGAATAATAAGTTTTTCACCACTAGATTTAGAATGGTTTACGGAGATGAGTGGTGGGCACGCACAAGTAGAGCGATACAGTGCACTCGTTATGTAGCATTAACACTGGCTCGTCCTCGAACACATTGATAACAGTTGGATACATGGCAGCTGGAAAATAGTAATGACGAAAACGAAAACGGATATTTATGGAGAGGGTGTGTGTGGGGCAAGATGGCGCCATCAATATGAATTGAGGTGAGGACCATCCATCCATCCATCCCTTCCCACTCCCATTCTCATTGTTGTTATTATGAGGCAAATCTCCAAGCTCCGAATCCATCCTCTTCTTTATATCATCACTAACGCTGCCGGCAACGTGGTAGCTGAAAATGAGTAGAAACAGCAGCAGCAGCAGGTGGCGGCAAAGGGGCCGAGACGCAAAGTTGTGCAACAGCGGCAGGATGATGTCAAAGGACATCGCTACCCCTAACCCTTCCTTCAGGGTCTACTACGGCGGCGCACCGGGCTCCGTCCCCTTCACCTGGGAATCCGCACCTGGAACTCCCAAGCACCACCTCGACGACGACGACGACGACTCCAATCTCCCGCCCTTGACTCCGCCGCCTTCCTTCTACTCCTCCTCCAACCACTCCCGCCGCCGCTCCTCCGCCGCCATGAGGCTGCCCAACTTCCTCTTCAGATCCCTTTTCCCCAAAACCGGAGCGGCAGCCTCGAGTCGGGGGTTGAGGTCCTCTGCCGCATCTTCTTCTTATTCTTCTCAGTATTCCGATCGAAATTACAATTCCAATTGCTCGCTGTCCTACTCCTCCTCCTCCACGTCATCATCGTCTTCCTCCTCCGGGCGCTCCCCTGACGCGCACGGGAGGAATGCGTGGCGGAGCCGGTGCTTCTCCTGCTCTGGGCTGCACGGCCGCCGCCGCCACGACGACGTATTGGATGAAGAAGGTAAAGGAGGAAGCGCTATAAAGAAGCGAAGGTCGGTGTCTCTGGGAAGATGGTGTTCCTTTGGGAGGGTGAGAAACGCTGTGTTGTCATCATAGTTAATTAATTTCAGCAGGTGGAAAATGGCTTCTTAATTTGCTAGCTGTTTTCAATTCCCTCTGTGGAGAAAGAAAATAAGGAAATACTTTACAGGAAGGTTAAACCCCTGGTGCTGGTATTGTTGTATGTGGTTCCTTAGCTAGTTCCCCTTTGTCCTTTATTTTGTATGGAGAATCGATCTGTGTTCATTTCTTCCTTTTTGTTTCTGCATATGTAAGTTGATCTGTTATGATTGGAAAGCATAAATTGAATGGTACCCTCTGCTGTGTAAATATATAGGCTATCATCGATTTGATTTGGATTGCAATTATGTTATGTGTAGACTGTAACAACCGTAATCCACATCCCATGTTACTCTTCCTACAGTACATATATGAAAGTCAATAGCAATTGCTCAGCAAACTCTGGTCCCTCTGTAGGAATGGTAATGCGGCGGATCAGGTCGAGGATATCATCGATGCATGTTCGATCCGGCCCCCAGCTACACAACAACAGATATTACCGGTCCAAAACAAGTCAAATAGATCGGGTAGGATAGCTCCGGGCGAAATTGTCATCCCCGTCACTCTGTTACCAGATCATCATGGATGATCAATACCCATATAATAAATAGTATATACAGTACAACTTGAACGCCTAAAAAGAGCGAGCATGATGGAGAACGTAGTGCCGCACTCAGAACCTAGCTAGGTCAGGCTATGAAGTGACTTTCAGGTGCCACTGTGTGAATTAGGCGCTATAGCTCTACAAGGGTTAAGGGTACTGCTGCTATCGATCTATGCAAATATAATAAGCGTCTAATGTTGTGTTTGCCAATTAAGTAGGCTGCGACAAATTGAATGCTGGCGCTCTGTTGTAAAAAAAAAAAAAACACTGTTTACCACTCGCAATAGGGTTTTGCAATCCAGTGTGCTGAAACAACAAACATTAGAATTCGGCAGTACTCCTGTGTAGCACATGTGGACTTGGTAGCCTCTATATGTGCATGGTGGTATTAGCTAATTAAATTCCACATCGAAAGTAGTTCAATCATCTATCCACATCAAGAACACAAATCTGATTAACAAACACGTTTGCTTGTTGAATTTGAAAATGAGAGTTCTAAATTTTTTTTTAAATTTATGATGGATTTGTTGTATTATGGATTTGGAAGAGTACATTGTTTGTTTATATCATGAATTTATGATGGATTTGTCTCGTAAATTTGCATTCCATTATCAAATCCCATATGAAATGTGGGATTTGCAAATCGGTGGGGCCCACGGATTTGGATCTAAAAAATGTCTAAATCCGTGGGCCCCACGAATTCGTGTCTCTTAGCAAGCAATGGATTTGTGCCAAATCCTTAATGCTTTGGATTTGGATGCCAAATCCATCATCCAAATCTCACAAACAAATGATAACTAAGATCCATCTCGAGATTCGTGTGTCAGTGTCTGTTTGTGATTGGAAGTGGTGTGGATGCGTGGACATCAATTAATGGAAGGCAGACTACTTGGCCAAAAAAGGTCTCTGGGTAATTTTTTTTTGTTTTTATAGGGTAACAATCATTGTTATAAGAACTGAACCGGATTAACGGCTGGACCAGTAGATCCGTCAAACGAGTTATTATAGCGGTTCGGTTCATTATTTGGACGGTTATTGATGGACCAAACGATTTTTCACGGTTCAGCATAAAACTAGATGAACCACCACGTTTTAACTGATCCACTGGTTCACTATTTTAACGACAAAAGTTTTTTTTTTAATACTTGATAACGTAAACTAAGACCATCAAGCCATGATTATTAATTTTATATATGGTTCCTCTTCTCATTTTCCAACCTTGTTACCAACTACCATCATAATTTTTAACTTGTATTAAAAAAATAACGATTTCTTTTATGAGACGTGAATAATTTATTAGATATTTTGATGATGATATGAATATGAAAACAACAGAGGTAACAACTAACAACACAGCACAATTGCATTTGTGAGGGGATGAGAAATTTAGTTAGGAGGGCTGGTTGAGTAATGACGAAGTTGGTGGGAGAGGGAGAGGAATGGAAAGGGGAAAGGGAGGTTCTTCATTCATTTATTAGGAACAGAAAATCCAACTACTGCTGCTGATGCCCCACATGAGCTGTAGTGAATGTGATACCTCAGAGAAGCACAAATATAATGCCAAATCGCAGAGGGCATGCGACCTAGTAATTAAGGACGCGAAACCCACCTTAGTCCTTAAATAAATGAAAGACTACCATTCCATACCCTGCAGCTTAATTGTTGCTGCTACGTTCACTAGCCTCTCACCCACCTTTGCCTCCCCGCCGGGCCCCTCCTTCCTGCCTCTTTGTCGGTGCCTGCTCTTCGTTAAATTTACAGATTGCATTGCATGTCCTTGGTCAGGGTCTCTGATACGCAATTTCATGGATTGGATTCATGGATTGATCAAATGGTCTGATGGATTGGATAATATGAATTGGTGGATTGAACAATTGATAAAAATTACATCCAAGTCTTGGATGAATATGTAAATTTTGAAAAGTTTACGTACTAAAATGTCACGAGGAAAAAATTGAGGTGCCAAAATGTAATTTTTTTCCAATGACATTTGTTTAAAAATAAATTTAAGGTACCAATTGTAAAATATACTAAATAAAGGTACTAAAGTTTAATTTGGCAACGTATCCATGAACCCACCAATCCAATTGAATTTGGATCAAATGGATTGGATTTAAATAGATTGAATTAGTGGGATATATAAGTGGATGAATTAGACTGGATTTGTGGATTGGATTATAAATTGCCACCTCTAGTTTCACCTGTATAATATACACATTGGTTTACCTATACTTGTCTTCTCATAGCTCTGTCTCCATTTACACATTCTCACTCGCTCTAAACTACACTCTCAATCGAAGGTCAAGCATAACCAACGATCCGGTGTAGTATAGTGGAAATAAGGAATGATATTATTGAATTCACGGGTCTCGAGATGTATTGTTACTTCAACTTCGGTTTGTTATCTAGCCAAACAAGGTTTGAAGATTAAGAAACTAAACTACTCTAACAACTACACTAGCTTATTGCAACTTGAGAGCTTACATAGGCATTGTATCTCCCTATGCACTATTCGGAGCAATTATTAACGTTCCAAAGCATGCCAACTCTAGACTTATACCATGCAGAATGCTAAACCCGCTTGAACTCCCTCTGAGTTATCCAAGCTCACCTAGGATGAATTATCCGTTGGGACAGTTTCCACATCCGACAAAATAGAAAACGAAATGCGTCCCAAATAGGTCCTCATTAATGGATAATGCATGATCCAATACGACGTTGTAATCTGACTTCACACTTGATCCATGGAGTTGCAATGAAGAATTGAGAATGCTCTAATAACCTATTTGCATTTCTCTATCATAGGTAAAAAAAGCCATAATTTGGAGAGTATGATCAACACCCAACCAAATTCTTGAAATATCTCAAATCAATATATAATCAAGAGTTCAAACAAAGCAAATGAATCATTCATTTCATCAATTCCAATCATACAAACTATAACATGATATAGTTCATCAAAACCTAAGTGAAGAAGAGGCTTGATAACCCCAATGGAGTTGGATCACGCAGAAATAGCTCCAACAACCCTCTTAGGTCACACACACACACACACGCACGCACGCACGCACGCACGCACGCACGCACACACACACACTCTCTCTCTCTCTCTCTCTCTCTCTCTCTCTCTCTCTAAAAAAAGTGCCCCTTGGGTGTTTTGAATGAAAACCCAACTCTCCCTTCAAAACCCGCAGCCGCAACCTACCCGAGCAGTGCGCATGTCAAGGCCTAGGTCATGGTCTGTGTATGCCACTGCACACCATTTTTTTGTGATTCTCGCGAGTTTCATGTAAATGTCATGGGCCAAGCCATGACATCTGCAACTAGCGGTGAAACGTACTCTTGCTGTTGGAACTGTGTAATTCTCACTACTTGTGTGCGAATGTCACCCCCCTGAAACTGTGAGAACTGCCTGTGACCTTTGCATACACTTCACTTTTGGGCTCGTTTTGACCTCCAAATGTCCCGGAACTCGCTCTTAATTAAGCTTCTCCAAGTACTAGGAGTAGGACTTTAAATATGACAAAAGAAACATAACCTAGCTTAAAATAGGTCGAGGAACATGTATTTCAAACCCAATCGATCGAAAATGGGTCAAAACATATGCAATTAAGCCTGAATCAAATTACCATTTCAAATAAAATGTTTGTGATATGTTGCTTGATTACACCCAAAATGGTATTATTTAGCCTTCATATTTAGGGTCTTTCTGAATCATTTCGTGATCTCGTTGGTTGATATGTCATCAAATACATCCCTATTTCGTTCCTTGAAGAGAATATTTTCATATTAGGGTGTTTTAGATGATATAAACATTTTAGGTATGAAAAGGGGTCACAAGTGTAGAATTATGTGCAAAAATGTGAGATCGCGATAAAGTGCACAAAGATCATGGACAGATAGAGAGGGCGTGAAGTTAAGCCCCAAGATCGCGGCCTGTAGTGCCGAGATTACGACCGTGATGTCTGGAGAAAGTGGCGCGAACTTCAGATTCAACCACCACGGGAGGACCGAAGAGTTTCAATAGTCCATGCTCGCGATAAATATCACGGTCGTGACATCCCAGATCGCCACCGTGATGTCAGGCTACGAACTCCCCATCCAGAAAAGCGTTAAATGAAGGTCTTCGAGGCTCCTCCAAAGATCATGGCCGCAATCAAACTTTGTCCAGATTTGAACTTGCCCGACATCCTGAAGTCACTTGGAAAAGTTATGGTTTGAGAGAGAATTTAGAGAGAGAGAAATTGAAGGAAGGATAAGAAGAGAAAAAGGAGGAGCCAAGAAGCAAGGGAACACTCCCCTAACTCAAGTCTTCTTCTAATTCTTCTTGCATATCTTCTTCCCTCCTTTATGGGTAGTTCTCTAAGGTACTAGTGGTCTAATCCCCATACCC